TCACCAAACTTTGGCATCTGAAAGAGCCAATCAACAAGTTTACCATGACTACATATATTACCTCATCCCTTGATCATTATTCTGCTATGTGCAATGGCATATATGGACAATGCCTATGAACGGCACAATACATTATAATATTTTCCAAGAAGAACAGAACTACCTGTTTAAGGCAACATGTTGAGAAGTGAGATGTGTTTTCTATGTGTCCTCTTACTGAAACAAGACTGCATTTACATCCTTAAACAAAATTGCCTTATTAAAAAAAGTGTCTTTATGTATAAGATAAGATAACCTTTTTGTCATTTTTTACTGTGGGCACATTGGCACACATTAAAAATGAAATTCTGTTGCCTGCTCTCAAAAGTGTACAGATATATAACATACAAACATGCTACATACGTATATATCTATACCATCACATATAAATACATATAAATATTAATCACTGTCCATCTTATAAAGCAGACATTTGTTGCTTAGACACTTCCTTTGTTGATGCCTAAACTAAGCAACTCTGGGAGTGGAGAGGGAAAAAGAGGTTGCAGGGCTATACAACTGCCCAATGAAAGCAACCTCTTTATTACTGGATCTCATCCTGGCAGACGGAGGAGCCCCTGGTGCTGTAATTACAGGAACAGTTTAAATAAACACGCTGTTTCATTTCAGTTCTAGCACCTCTTTTAATGTTCTCCTGCTTTGGTATATATCCTACAATAACCTACAAGTAGCCAGCAATAGAGTAATTTCAGAAAATACCCACCCTCTTCTAAAATCATTTTATGTGAACTCACCTCCTTTTAGATAAGATAACCTTTATGTCATTTTTTTTACTGTGAGCATACTGGCCCACATTTTGCTCTGCCTCTTCTGCCATATCAAAGAGTGGTACCACTTATGCCCAACAGAGAATATAAATCTGTTCTACACTAATTATGTCTGCTATGGGTTCACTACTATCCATCTCTGTCCACCACTGGGTGCCCTTCAATTGTGTTGGACACATTCATTTTCTTTACTCCCAGCTCCTGTTACACACATGCCCAGATTCGGTTTATGGCCATTCATACATTCACAGCCTGTTGTGACAGATGGCTCTTGTAACACCACCACACTCACACACCACTTTCTAGCTGGGGTTTCCAGATAGGTGCAGCTAAAGCAGATGAGAAATATAATTTTGATCAACAGCCAGGGAACAATTAGCAACACATATAAATCATTTTCAACCAAATACTGAGGCACATAAGGAAAACACAGAAACACAATGAACTTTAAAGTAGCAGCAAAACTTTACTGGTTACAATGTACATTTCCTCCCACACACATATCTCCACTTATTTGATTATGCCTTTAGCCTGGTATTGGGAACTGCAGGTACGCTACATAAACAGCTTACTCTCTTGAAATCCTTTCCTCTCCAACCTTTCCACTATGCAGGGGGAGAGGGGAAAAAGCAAGTGCTTTTGTAAGCCATCTCTCCTTTGCCCGATTCTTTCCTACTGGTGGTGCAATTGCAATGTGTAGAAGAGCAAACAGCTTACTCTCTTCTAATCCCTTTCTCTCCAATCTCTCTGCTCTATAGGGAGGGGGAAGTGTCATAGAAAGGAAATATTGCCTTCAGAAATAGTTTGTTGTCCCCTCAAGATTGGAGAGAAAGGAATTTCAAAAAAGTACTGTAAGTATTTACATAGTGCATCTGCAGCTCCCAGGCCAGGCATGAATACATTGCTTTTGATTTATAGAAGAGGAGTTTACTCTCTTGCAATCCCTTTCTCTCCAATCTCTCTACTCTGCAACAGAGGAAGAAAAAAAACCTAACAAGCCAGGCATAATATATATACTGATTGTAATACCAATCATGTGACTGAGGAACACTATGAAGGTTATAAATGTTCCTAAATTGCCTGTAAAGTTGAAGGTCATAAATAAGAATTACCTATAATTGTATATGGGACTGAGTGTTTCTGTGAACTTAAGTCTCTTTTGTTTTCTTCAGATGACCTTTCTTCTTTGATCCTTAGAGATTTCCCTCTTATGGTTCTCTCCAAGGAACTATTTGAGAAGGTTATTGACTTTGCTTAAATGCCTCATCTTTAGGTTAAGGCTGATCTTTAGCAGGTATTATGTATGGCTATGTAAATATGTATGTACCTGTATGCATACATATGTATATGGTGTAAATGTATGTAAATATGTATATATTTAAAGTCGTAAAAATGTGTTTGATACAGATATGAAAAAATATGTTCAGCTGAATATTTTACATTGTTTCCTATAGACAAAGCAACATCGCTCAATATTACAGTGCCATCTCTAGATAAAAAAAACCTAATTTAGCTATAGCCTGGAATCATATTCTTCTCTAGATAAACTCTAAACATCCAGGATGTAAGATTGCCAGGAGAAATAACAACAACCTAAGATATGCAGATGTTACCACTCTAATGGCAGAAAGTAAAGAAGAACTGAAGAGCCTCTTGATGCGGGTGAAGAAGGAGAGTGCAAAAGTTGGCTTGAAACTCAACATTAAAAAAACCAAAATCATGGCATCCGGCCCTCTCAATTCCTGGCAAATAGATGGGGAAGAAATGGAGGTAGTGACAGATTTATTTTCCTGGGCTCCAAGATCACCTCAGATGGGGACTGCAGCCAAGAAATTAAAAGACGCTTGCTCCTGGGGAGGAAAGCTATGGCGAATCTAGACAGCATACTAAAAAGCAGAGACATCACCCTGCCAACAAAAGTGCGTATAGTCAAGGCCATGGTTTTCCCAGTTGCAATGTATGGCTGTGAAAGTTGGACCATAAGAAAGTCTGAGCACAAAAGAATTGAGGCCTTTGAACTATGGTGCTGGAAAAGACTCCTGCGAGTCCCTTGGACTGCAAGGTGTTCAAACTGGTCAGTCCTAGAAGAGATCAACCCCGACTGCTCTTTAGAAGGCCAGATCCTGAAGTTGAAACTCAAATACTTTGGCCACCTAATGAGAAGGAAGGACTCACTGGAGAAGAGCCTAATGCTGGGAAAGATTGAGGGCAATAGAAGAAGGGGACGACAGAGAATGGCTGGATGGAGTCACTGAAGCAGTAGGAGTGAGCTTAAATGGACTCCAGAAGATGGTAGAGGACAGGAAGACCTGGAGGAACATTGTCCATGGGGTCACGATGGGTTGGACACGACTTCACAACTAACAACAACACAACTATTTATTTAAATCCCAGATCATTGCATAATCATGTTAAAGTCAAGAAGATATAAAACTTTTTTTTGGTTTCCTTATTTTTTCAAGAGCAATGTCACTCTGATTTATTCTCTAATACATATCATATATATGTTGTACTGATAGGCTTACAACATAGTGGAGAGCCAATCTGATAACAATGAATCTGGATCATCTGCTAGATAAAACTACTACTTCTATGTCCTTCCCAACTTAAAATCATACGTGCAAATCTGTGGAAAGAAGATATTTTCTCTCCCCACAGCTATAAACAGGCCTGAGGGGGTTGTTCCCTTATCAGAGACTTTTCTATCTTACTTTTAATTTTTTAAAAATATGGAGAGTTACACAACAGAGCATTCATGACACCCATTGCTGTTTGTGAAGCAACAATTCCTCTGTAGATTTATAATGCTTTAAAAAAAAACTATTACTAAATCCTCAACATTATAATTTGTGATCATTCCCCACAAACTACTAATACCTTCCTAGAGTTGCAAATTCAACAGTATGAAAAGCACAAGAGTAGATGAAGTCTATCAGATAAAGCAAAAACAAACAGTGATAAATAGCATCAATTCTCTAAGTTGGTGCTGCTGAAAATGTCAATTCTGGCTAGATTCTCATCACCTGCAAAGCCAAATTGCGGTTTCGTCACTGTCAGGTCGTGTGAGCACAGCCAGATTGGCTGCAAACCACAACTTCTTCCAATCATTCTGAGCAAGACGTTAGCTGCCACCCCTTCTTTTCTTCCCCTACTCAGAAGCCACAGGATCTTTTGTCTTCTTTTGAGAAAAGAAGACTCATTTCTAGAATTTCAGCTTTATAAGCAGAAAAGAAGGCAGAATCAAGTCACACACGTTACCCTTGAAAAAAACAGAATCTCCCTAATGGTCTGAGACAGATCGCCCCAAAGTTCTAAATATTTAGAAATGCATGCTATATCTTAGCAGAGCGTCATTTAAACGGAAACATCCTTGGGATTAAAAAAAAAGAGAGAGAGATTATCTTTTTTCTGCTTGTGTATGTAAATGCATCATATTGGTATTTGCTATTTAATTACAAAAATCAATAAAAATTTTATTAAAAAAAAAAAAGAGAGAGAGAGAAAAAAATATATGAAAGAGAGGAGTAAGAGGCCTCTTCTAACCGCGGCCGAGTTCATCTCGCCTAAGGCTGTTGACAGCCTCAAATTAAAAAAAAAATGGTCGGCTTTTTTTTAAAAAGGCGTAAGAAAAGGGACACCCCAGAGCTTCTATCAAATTTAACTCCAGCTTATTCTGACACATTGGAGACCGCCTTTCGCTTTCGCTTCTACCAGAGGCGAGGGGGATTTTGAAGGGTAGGCGGAGAGATGAATTAAAAAAAAAAAAACCAAAAAAAACCCCCCCAAGCTGGTGTCTCTCCCTTAGAATAAATGCCAACAGCAAGCACGAATGACCGGCAACTTCCCCGCCCTTTTTTCCTCCCCGTTTTCCTTTAAAACACAAAAACACACACACACGCACACAAAAACCCGATTATTACCCGGTTAGCTTAATAAAACCTCGGAGAGCACCAAAAACTCCGGAGCTCAACCTTGGAGAGTCTCTCCGATCGAGGGAGGGGAAAGAAGAAAAAAAAAGCACAACCCAAACTTTTGCCTTTTGCAAAACTGGCATCTCTAGAGAAAGGAGCGGGCTGCGAGCGCGGCCGTCCCGCTCCTGCAAACTGCGGGCGAGTCCCCCGCAGATAATCGGATAAAACCAAACTAAAACGGGCGTCCAGGAAGTTAACTCACCCGGGGTTGGTGTCGGCGGAGGCTTCCTCCAAGCTTCCCTTAGCTCTGGCCGTCGGGAGGAGGAAGAGAGGAGCTGCTGGAGCTGCTGCTGCTGCTGTTCCTGCTCCTAGCGCGCCTGCCGCAACTGCCGAGCTCGGCCTTCAGCGGGGGTTGCAGGCTGCTCTCTTTCGCTCGCCCGCCCGCCCGCTCGTCGAGTCCGCCTTTCCTGCTCCTGGTCTTCCGGAAGGAGGGGAAACAAGAACAGCCACAGCCACCGCTTCCGCACAGAGGTCCAAGCCGAGCGGGAAGCCGCAGCCGCGCGCGCGCGCGCCCCGGGCCTGCCTTCTTAGGTGCACGCGCTACTGTCGCCAAGGAGCGGGGAGGCCCGGCAGGCTCCTCCCCCGGGAGGAGGAGCTAAATGCCCGGTTTCTGAAGTGGCTTCAGCTCCCAAAGGAGAGGAAGCGGGGGGGGGGGGGGGGGGGGGGGGGGGGGGGTTTGGTCGAGATCGGAAGAAAGGCTGGTGCTTCAATCTTTTTAAGAAGGGGGAGCCGTTTTCGTAGGCCAAATATCGCAAATCGCCCTAAAATGGGCAGAGCAATGCTTATCCGGTCATGGGCTCCTCGCCCCGTTTTTCTAGCTTCGCAAAACTACGGAACTGTATAAGAACTAATGGGCCTGTGATCCCGGGTGTTGCAAAATGCCTGGACTAGGTGTGTAAAGTTAAGGATAACTTCCCTAAAGAGAATTAGATTTGGTCATTTGAGGCTAGCATAGAGGAATTGCTGTACTAAAAGAATCAGATATGCAACTAAATATGTAAATAGATCGTTTATATCCTGTCCGATTCTGAGCATGACAGTGATAAATACATGATTTATTGGTTGTCCTACCTAGTCAAACTAATGGTCAATGAACAACATGGAAAAACGGGGATTTTGGAATCAAACTGAATATCCATACTTTTGTTTTTATTTTTTTTTAAAGCCATTGCTTTTTCTAGACTGAGTACTCTGTAATGACTAGGAATGTTTTATATAAAAAATGGGCATGTATCAAGAGGAGCTCAATGTGAAAGAAAGTTGCTAGAAGCAGAATTGCAAACGATTGCAATGATGAAGACAAAAAGGCCTTATATTGGAGTAAGAAATGGGCCAAGTTTCCATGACGTATGCTGGAAATGCAGAGATGAAAAGTTGAAACCCAGAATGAATTCAGGTTGGTGACGGTTAGGATACTTCCCAGACTAGGAATACTGGATAAGGGGGGATATGACTAATAATGAGTATAATTGATCAATGGAACAGTTTGCCTCCCAGAGTTGTGGGTGCTCCATCACTGGAAATTAAAACAAACAAAAAATGGACAAACATTTAACCAGAATGATAAGATCTCTTGCTTCAAGCATGGACTAAAATATCTCCGAGGTCCCTTCCAATCAAAGATTTCCCCAGGCCTCTTTCTATTTAAATACAATAAAAAAAAATCTTGTTCTTCTAAAACAGGGCTTTTCAACCAGTGATACGGGTACCACCTGTGGTACACTGGCACCTGACAGGTGGTACGCGACCATCCTAGAAAAGTAGCAGGGGAGGGGAATGAGCTGAACCGGTGGCAGCACCGCACAAGCCTCAGCGAGAGATGGCTAGAGCGGCAGGGCTGTCAGGGCTCAGCGGAAGCGCCCGGATCAGTGCCAGGCTCCAGCTGGAGCTCAGCGCTGATCCTGGTGTTTCTGCTGAGCCCAGAAGCGCCAATCAGCTGGAATGTTGCAGCATCTCCAGGGTCGTGATTTACATTCAGATGCTTGGCAACTGATTCATATTTATGACGGTCAGTGTCCCATGGTCATGTGAAGTGACCAAAACCTGCTGCAACCACCCAGCAGACGGGGGGGGGATAAAAACTAAACACCCCCCCACCCCACCTCCGCTGCCAATCCTCAACAGAAATGCTCACAACAATGAAAACCTCAGACAGGAGGAAGAGCGCCGCCGGGCAGGCAGGCAGGTGTCTTGCTCGGCTGTGGCTTGGGGGGCACTTTTTTCAGTGCCACTGTAACTTCGAACAGTCACTAAGCGAACTGTTGTAAGTCGAGGACTACCTGTACTTTATCACTTTTTTCCTTTTTTTTTTTTTTTGGTCAAGTTTTTAACATCTTGCAACTGGTGGTACTCGGATGTTGCCATATTCTAAAAGTGGTACAATGGGTGAAAAGGTTGAAAAGCCCTGTTCTAAAACAGCAGAACGCTGAAGAAACAGAAAGAACTTGCTATCCTAAGCTGGGAAGAAGTAGAAAGTACCATTTGCCCAATAGAAAAGAACTCTGGAATTATCTCCAAAGTTCAGGTAGCTCCAGGAAAAAGAAGCTTAAGGACTTCACTTTAGGATTCCAATTAACTTTAAGAAAAAGTAAATGTTTTAGACAGAAGCTGTGTTAATTTTATTTTTAGTCTAGAGGTGCTTAAGCCCAATCTTTTATATCTCCATGTAAGCTCAGTGATTGAGACCATCAGGGTGTGAGCTCGGCCTTGCCGAGGATTTCTTTACATATGTTCAGTGCTAATGGAAAATTATCAATATTCCTCATGCTTGATGAAAAAAGGCAGAGTTACTTAATTCTTAGTTTTTGCCCCAAAAGAGATAACTTTGAAAATTCATAGAAACATGATGAGGAAACCCCTATTTACTTGTGTTTAAATGTTCAAAGTCAGATGGATTGCATACCAAGGATGTTGTCAGCCTTCCCAGGTAAATCAGACAGGAAGCAGGGCTAGATGAGCTAATTCTACCTTTTTTTAAAGGCTACATTAACAGAATCTTGCAAGTCTGGAAGGACAAATTTCTCCCCATCACTTTTAACTGCTTTATCCATTAGGCAGGTTTCTATGTCTGACCATTAAACCATTGGGGGCTCCTGCCTCTCTTCTCTGATTGTTTCCTAGGCAGCATCTCTTTCTCTCTTTGCCCAAGGTCATCCACACATTCCATTACAGATATGAAAGCTGCATCCAATCCCTTTATATGTTTTCTTTGACACTGGAGACAGAGAGCTGTGCTAGTCAATGGAACCCCAAAATCAGAAGAGGCCTGGTAGCAACTTGTGTAGTAAAATTTTATTGAAAGGCATAACATTCATTAGTTAGAAAAACAAGTAAATTAACAGAAATATATTGACCTCACAGGAAAAAAAACCACCCCACTTTATTCTGTGAAGATTAGTCTCCCACTTCAAGTATGGAATGCAATTGTGGGCACCAAATTTTAATATTTAGAGAAAGTGGAACAGAAAAGACAGCAAGGGTGATCGGTGGGCTAGAAACTGAATCCCATGAACAGAGATAGGAGCTGGTCATATTTAGCCTTAAAAGAGAGGTTTGAATGATACTGTTCAAGTACCAGAAAAGATGTCACATAGAACTTCCTATTATTGAAACAGCAGGACATGAAATAATGGATTTAAGTTACAGAAAGGCACATTCTAATTAAACTTTATAAAAAATGTCCGTTACATGAGCAGTTTGTCAGTGGAACCAGTTGCCAAGAGAACTTGCTTCAGCCGATGAGTTAAAGTGAGAAATAGACAATCATCCACTGAGATGCTTTAATTTGGATTTTTGCACTTAGTACTGGATATGCCTTGATGGCTTAAATAGACTTCTGTGATTCCATGCAACAACAAAAATAATCTTGACTAAAAAATGTTCAGGAACAAATCCACAATTTCTTTGAAAATGAGTTTTTCTAATAAAAAACAATGAGTAATCATTCTTAAATTTATTGGGAAACATGGAGGAGAAAGCAGTTCCTTCCTGGCCTGAAATGAGAAAAGTTTACACAATATTCCCCCAAGTGTAATGTACAAAATGTTCCAGCACATCTTACTTTTGAAAGTAAGTTTTGAAAACCATGATGCTTCAACTTCTTTGAAACATCTGTATCAGCTTGAGATTTCATGCATCGTGTCTCTCAAAGCTGTACTTCTCCTAGCCCTTGTTTATTAACAGATGCTTTCCTTTACTTGGAGCATAATGGAAAGGTACAATACTCGGATGTCTTCTGTTTGCATTCAATGTAGTATAAAATTCAATGTAAGCTTCAACAGAAGAAAAATAAGATGTTCTGAGCAGATGGATATTGTTGGCAAGGGAATTAAGTTGTGTTTCCCTTGCAGGTTAAATCAAATGCATTCAGAAGGAAATCACTATGTGTACCTTTAGTGCCAGGGAAATTGTACCAACTCTATTGATGTACAGCTAAAATACATTTTCTTTGTACGCTTAAAAAAATTGGGTTAAATATCAGCACAATATACATATTAAATGTGCTGAGGTAGGACAGAAATGAACATTGGGGAGGGGTTAACTACAGTATAGCACGAGCCATCCATCAAGGAAAGAAGTTTTCCTGTTTTCCTTATTATAAAGTCATGGACTTTTTGTGCCCTCCCATTCTTTCTGTTTTACTATAAATTTCTGCAATATATTACAACATGGCATTTCTAAAAGAAAATGTTAAGTACAATACAACATTGAGAGCTAAATAGAAATGAAATACTATGCTGTAGCCTAAAATATATGGCTCTTGCACAGGAACAGAAGAGGCTCCAGGATGTATGGGAAGAAGTAAACAAAAATGTCTATGGAGATTCTCAGTCATCCAGGTCACAATTGTCCCAAAGATGCTTTTTCATGAGATAACTGGACTTTCTTGTTTTTCTTTGAAGACGTTTTGCTTCTCATCCAAGAAGCTTCTTCAGCTCTGACTGGATGGTGGGCAATGAAGGATTTATACTCCTTGCAGACAGCTGGTCATTTGCGTTTTTTTAGAGGTTGAGGCCAACTGGGGGTTTATCTGTGTCATCAGGGTCACCTGAGTAGTGCAAATGGGTGTGGAGCCTTCTTGGAACTGCTGAAAGAACTGTGTTGTAGACTGGAGATAGTGATGACGTATCTCCCCCTCTCTATTGAGAGTGGGCTGTTCACTTTTGACATAGATGGCCTCTTTGACACCAGCGTCCAAAATGTGGACTTAAGTAATTAAACAAAAACCAACAAATCCAAGAATTACAAGGTTTGAAGTTTTCTCACCCTGCCTGAGGAATCTGAGTCAGCTCAGCATTGGAATGGAAGGAACTGCTTACATTGCAACATAATTTTATTTACTCATTAAATTTATATGTTGCCCATTTCACTAACCAAAGCAACTCTGGGCAGCTTTATCATCTGAGATACTCCTTGGATTGGCCCATCCCTTAGTACATTGGAGGGGTAGGAAACTACAGATAGTCCTTGATTTATGACCACAATCGAGTCCAAAATTTCCATTGTTAAGCAAGACAGTTAAGTGAGTTGTGCCCCATGTTATGACTCAGAAGGTCTCAAAAGGTGATCACATGAGCCCTCAGCACTGCGGCCATCATACATACATGCCAGCTGCCAAGCATCCAAATTTTGATCATGTGAACATGGGGATGCTGCAAGGATCATGTGAAAAATGGTCATTAGTCACTTTTTTCAGTGCCATTGTGACTTTGAATGGTCACTAAATAAATGGTTGTAAGTCAAGGATTAGCTGTATAGCAACTTTACAACCTGTGGACTTCAACTCCCAGAATTTCTGAGCCAGCCATGCTGCAGGTCGTTCAAAGATAACAATGATACTGAAAAAAACTGACTTACAGCAAATCCTCACACTTACAACTGTTGCCGCATCCTGACAGTCACAGGATAAAAATTCAAGTGCTTGACAACTGGCATGCATTTATGATGGTTGCAGCGTCCCGGGCTCACACAATCGCCATTTGCAACCTTCCCAGCCCGTATTTGACAAGCAAAGTTAATGGGGGGAAGCTGGATTCACCCAACGACTGCATGACGCACTTAACACTTAAGTGCAAAAAGGTTCTACTTTTTTGATGGGTGTTAAGGGCCCAGGCCCATTGCCAACAGTCTGAAAAGTTGACCTTTGTCCAAGCTTTTGACTTTGGGTTCAGACACTTGGCAACTGATGGCTTCCTCCTTCCGTTATATATTCAAGATGGACAATATTTAATATTTATTTGCTACGTATATGTAGGGATGTGGATCTATACATATGTTGTTCATAGTATGTTTAGGTGTGTGTCATGTATGTATTTCACTTTGAGAGCGGGCAACTAAATTTCATTTTTGATATGTGCCATCGTGCCCACAGTATAAAAATGACAATAAAGGTTATCTTATCTTATCTTATCTTATCATGTAATCACCTTTTGCGACCTTCTGACAAACAAAGAAAATGAAGAAGCCGGATTCACTTAACAACTGCGGTGATTCACTTAACAACTGTGGCAAGAAAGGTTGTGAAAGGGGGCAAAACTCACTTGACAACAGTCTTGTTTAGTAATGGAATTTTTGGGCTTAATCGTGGACATAAGTCGAGGACTACCTATACACACAACCCAATCCCTCCCTCTGCTGAAAAGTTCTAATGTTTTTTTTAAAAAGGGGGTTAGAATGAGACGTTTGGGCAATGAGGTTTGTTGTGAATGGGAGCTTTTATTCATACTTAGGGTTATGTAGAGTATAAGAAAACGGCTTTTCTTTAGAAAATGCTCGTGGTTTGTCATGATAATCTCCAGTATGAGAGGCTGTAGGGAGGATGGAAAGGAATGAAAGAGAGCAGACATAAACAATTAAAAAGAGTGCATGAATCAGTTGTTAGGTTATCTTCCAGGTAGAAAACAGGTTTCGAATCATTCAGATACACAAGAATTTTGCTTGCATGATATTTAGCAGAAGAACAGTCATCCTTTCTATAATGATTTCCACGAACCAATTGCTGACTCAGAATTACTTCCAGATACAGAAAAACGAAGTTGATATACAATGGAATCAATAAGCTTCTGAATCAACTGTCACTATATCTGACCAAGAAAAGATATGGGACGAGTGGTTTTAATATCCATTTACTCAGAATAAAAGGCTAAATTTCTGTTTAGACTTCACCCTAAGGTCAAGAAAGAAGAGCTATAAAAAAGAGCTCATCCTTCTCCATGGAGAGCTGCTTTATAGCCTATCATCTATAACTCATCAAATTTGCAGACGACACCAAGCTGGCAGGAATAGCCACCACTCCAGAAGACAGGCTTAGGATACAGGAGGATCTGGACAGACTTGAACACTGGGTGCTATCTAACAAAATGAAATTCAATGGTGAAAAAAGTAAGGTTCTATATTTAGGCAAGAAAAACCAAATGCACAGGTATAGTATAGGGGGTACCTTACTCAATAGTAGTAACTGTGAGAGGGACCTCGGAGTCCTAGTGGACAATCACCTAAATATGAGCCAGCAGTGTGCTGCAGCTGCCAAAAAAGTCAACACAGTGCTAGGCTGCATTAACAGGGATAGAATCAAGATCATGTGATGTATTAATACCACTCTACAATGCCTTGGTAAGGCCACACTTGGAATACTGCATCCAGTTTTGATCACCACGATGTAAAAAAGATGTTGAGACTCTAGAAAGAGTACAGAGAAGAGCAACAAAGATGATTAGGGGACTGGAGGCTAAAACATATAAGGAACGGTTGCTGGAATTGGGTATGTCTAGTTTAACGAAGAGAAGGACGAGGGGGGACATGATAGCAGTGTTCCAATATCTCAGGGGCTGCCACAAAGAAGAGGGAATCAAGCTATTCGCCAAGGCGCCTGAAGGCAGGACAAGGAGCAACGGGTGGAAACTAATCAAGGAGAGAAGCAACTTAAAACTAAGGAGAAACTTCCTGACAGAACAATTAACCAGTGGAGCAATCTGCCTCCAGAAGCGGTGAATGCTCCAACACTGGAAGTTTTTAAGAAGAGACTGGACAGCCATTTGTCCGAAATGGTGTAGGGTTACCTGCGAGCAGGGGGTTGGACTTGATGACCTCCAAGGTCCCTTCCAGCTTTTATTATTATTATTATTATTATTATTATTATTATTATTATTATTATTATTATTATTATTATTATATTTATTTATTTATTTATTTATTTATTTATTTAAACAAAATTTTATTAAGTTTATATAGATGAGGAAAAATAGGAACAATACAGGTGTGGTTATTATTATTATCTTTAAAGCCTTCCTTTTTGAAAAAAAGCCTGGTAACAAAACTTCCAGCTTAATTTATCGCATACTAAAGAGCTTCCTTGGAAAAGTTCAACTGTAATTTTAAGACTGTGTGGCACAAATTTGTTTATCAGTGCATCTGATTTTGAACAACATTTTAGAACATGCTCTTTCTACAATAAAAGGAAAAATAGAGATGTAGGTTGTATTTCCAACTCCAAAACTAACCGCAAATGTCTAGAAGTATCTTCAATAAATGTAACCTTCAACATGTGCTTCAAGTCCATAATGGCATCTCGGAATTGTTCTCCAAAGGGATTAAAATGCAACGGCTACTGTTTTAATAAGTGAAAGTCAGTCACACACACGAAATCCACATACTCTTGAGGAAAATGTGCTCATGAAAGTATATCAACAGAAACATTAATTTTTGTACTTTTTAATTGAAGTCCATGAGCAAAGTATCATCTTACTGTTTTGCTAAGATTAGAAAACCCAATGCCAACACAGGTCATTACGACTTTTTCACCTCCCTTTCGTTCGTCTTCAAACGATTTGGTCTCAATTTTAAACATAACCTGGAAATAACTTCTCAAATGTCGCAGGAATTCAATTCTAAAAGAAAAGGAAAACAACAACTATAAGTATACTTCTCTTTTTCTAAACTGTAGTCAACATCTGCATTTCAAAAGCAAGTACCCATTCATAAAAAATGTCTACCTGATTATTTGTAAAATACATCACTTTTCTATGGTCAAATGTTATAAAAAGTGGGAAAAAATAGGTGAGCAAAATTGCATATCTCCAAAGTAAAGTTTTCAATTAATTAAAACAAAAGACAGGTGAAGCTAAAAAGGATTTATGAATAACACCTGGAGAACTTTTTAAAAAATCTGCGCGGACTTTTAATTAACTTTTCCAAAATACTATTTGGAGAAGTTGGCTTCATAAGCTTATTACCAGTTTAAAAAAGATTTTTTTATGACTAAGCCATGATGAATGTTTGCACATTCCTATATTACTAATGGACTACCATCCATCAGCAAGGCATACAAGTTCTTCCTCTCCTTACTCTATCTCAAAATCTCCTACTTAACTCTCAAAAGCATATAACGCCCAGCAGTAATTTCATAGCATTACCCATCTCATTGTGATGGCACTATCATTCTTCAGTTATCACAGTACTGTACCTTTCATACATACAGCACCGGTACCATGATAACCGAAAAAGGACAGTTCACAGTCAAGTTGCACTGACATTATTCTACTGAAGTACCCCAGATCATCTGCAAGCTGGAAAGAACCTCATTTTCCTTCCAAAGTCCCCAGCTGACAAAGCATGTGCAAATCCTCAAACGTCTACAAATGGCCTTGCATCAGAGACTTAAAAAAAAAGAATGCATGCACAGAAACACGATAGTCACACTGCAGTAAGAAGAACAATTGGATCCATGCGAAGGCCAACACCAGCTAAAGAACTGGCAGCTGTAATTTCACATTGTTGTACTTATAACTATCCTGCCTTTATTTTACACAATTCAAGGCAACATATTTCATTTGTATCCCACCTTTATTATTTATTTTACAAATAAAAGTCGACTTATACATATACTGTACATGCTACTCCTACCTGCTTATTTCCCCTTCAACTAAATTCCTATGAGTTGGGCTGTAAGGGAATGACTGGCTCAAAGTCACCCAGCTGGTTTCCATACCTAAGGAAAGACTAGAACTCACAGGCTCCCTGTTTCTAGTCCAGTGTACTTGCCACTACGCCAAACTGGCTCTCAGATCCAACAGAAATGGACCTTAGTTTCTCCTGAATACAATATTGACTATAATATGCTGAAAATTGTGACATGAACATCTGCTATTTCAAAATACTTTCTATTCAATGTCATTGCTATCGAAACTGCAAGCCGGGGAGTTACTCCTTATATCAGACACTTTACAAAGGAACTTGTTACCATACTTATATAATGCATGTTGGCATCTGTCTCTAAAAGCAAATGCAATCCTGTCCCTGCAAGCTTCATTAGCTTGATTCACAGTGAACTCATAAGAAACTTATTCGACGGCATTACATAAACAGTAATAACATACTGCATGGAGTGTTCTAAACATCAGCCTAAGTAGTTCTTTTGGCAGCAATTAACTGTTCCAGGTAATGGCTTCCTGTCACTACAGCTGACAAATTGAGCAAGAATAATTATTCCTGGGTGTGGGTGAGAAAACTTACGTGTAAGGTGATAATGGTCCTAGAAGGACTTTGGAGACATCTTGCTGCCCAAGGGTCATAAGAAGCAGAATGAGGCTTTGGTTTATTGAGTCCACGCAACCTCCCTGCAAAGGAAATGCTTTAATCAGTAAGCTTTGTGGTAGACACAAACTATAGATAAAAGGGGAAAAGAAAACTGGGAGGAAGCACAGGGGAACTCTGCTCTTAACATTTCAAATGTCAAAAGATAAACCAACTATTTTCACAAGTCCAGTTGCAAAGCAACATATTCAAAATTATATCGGAGATATTTGTAGATCTTTAAATAATCCTACAACTGCTTCCTGAAATTGAAATTGTGACGCACTGTTATCTCGCAGTGCTGCACAATGGTGCAACAGGCACATGGCAATCTGTTTCCGAAGTACAGCTTGTTCCAGGGAACCCATCTCAGCGTGGGTGCATGTGAAATACAGGGCAAACAAAATCAGACACTGAAGAGCCCTCACAGTCACATGATCAAAAAACTCTGATGCTTGGCAGCAGGTCCACACTTACAACTTCAGGAGCACTTCGACTTTCTCTTCCCCCCCCCATCTCTGCCCATTTGGCCATCTTGGATCATGCACTCCCTCAGTGGCAGTGGCAGCATCAGAAGCACTAGGGCTGAAGTAAAGGACTAGGGTCTTCAGCAGTCCCATTCAGCTGCCGCCCCACCTACCTAGTCCCCTACTCCAGCCCCAGTGCCGCCATCTCAAGCCCCACACTGTGGCCAGACTCCCCAGTGCAAAACCCCAGCTGGTCCCACCACCTGTGCTCCACAGGCTCTGTCATTTCCACCTGATCTTCACCAGCTTCTGCTGCTGACAAGGCACACCTGGCCTGGCCCTATGCAAGGCAGGTGCTGGCCATACCTGGCCTTCTTCCCGAGACTGCGTGAACTTTCTCCAAATCATGCATGGCCTTCTTGCAATGCTTCTGGGGCCTGCCAAAACATCCTGAGAAGGACACACACGATTTGGAGATGGATGGGCATGGCCAGCTGCTGCCTTTTATATAAGGTCAGGCTGGGCACTCCTTGTCAGCAATGGAAGACAGTGAAAGTCAGCTGGGCATAGCAGGGCCCACTGCACACAGGACAGTGGCAGATGGAGCCTTGCACTGTGGTGGCTGACCACAGTGCGGGGCTTGAAGTGGCACTCCTGCCAAAACATCCTGACTATTTCAGTCCCAGTGCTGCTGGTGCCACCACTGCCAAGGTGTGCCACTGTGCTGGGTAGTCCAAAGGGCAGATTTTGGGAGGGGTGGGTAGAATAGGCAAGTTGGAGGAGTTCAAGAGAAGGCAGTTCCTCACCTTACCAGGGCTCAGAGTCTGGAGAGACTAAGCTGGGAATGACTTTGATGGAGTGGATCCTTGCCTAATGACTGGTGGAACTTGGTTAATGGGGTTTCAAGGGGTTTCTTTCACTGAGTGATGAATTCATTTGACATCACTCTTTACAACTGCCTCACTTAGCAATGGAAATTCCTGTCCCAATCACTGTACCGTTGTAACCTGAGGACCACCTTGATAGACTTCTTCCCATTGCTAGCCAAAAGAAAAGTGCATTTTATTTGTTGCATTTAGAAAAAAAAGCCTTTATATACAACGCAACTCTGCTGCTGCTGCTGTTACCTAGAGAATAAAAAGCTTATGTTGCAATACAACATGGGCAGAATTAAAATGATAGAACTAAAATTACATAAGCGCAAATATGGACAGAACTAAAATGCATAGGATGACATTCAAGGGAGAGGCATTGACACAGGCTTCCTCAGCTAGCTACCAGACTCTCCAACCACCATGGAAGAACTCATGAACAAATGTGAGTCTTCTAAAAGAGTCTTCCCATCTCTAGTACCTTCCAGATATTTTGGGATCACCACATCCGAATCGCAAGGATTTCTGGAAGCTGAGGTTCCAACATCTATGGAGGGCATCAGGTGTGGAGATGCACTAGTAATTATTCTTCAGAAGAGACTTAGAATCAGCCACTTACTCGGTGGATCTCTTCAAGGAGTAACTTTGCACAGTTCACACCAAGGTCTTCTGGAAGCACAGCAGCACCCTGGCCCTGGGGATTAGAGGCCAGTTCAGCACTAAGGAAAGTCCCATTTGTAGTCTCAGCTACGAGAAACAGGCCAAAGCCAGGAGACCTGAAAGAAAGATGGGTGCAGAGGAGAAATTGAAGGGAAAGGTGTATTTTTCTTGGGGGGGGGGGGGAAAGTCTTTGACAAAAGTGTCCAAACTTTGACTGCTAAGGTGGTTTCTTAACAACTATATAAGTATTTAAAAATACACGACAGCCAACCCAAACACCGACCATAAATTTGATGTAATTAATTTTTTCTTATTATCTAGGAACGTAACAAGCAGCCTACCACTGGGTCAGGCAAATTGTGCACTAAGCCAGTGATTTATACTCTGACCAGCAACAGCTTTCCAAGACGCCTAACAAGGGCACCTCTCGGTCCCTGTTGCCAGGCCCTTTTAAATCAGGATCAAATCAAAGACTTCTGTGGCCAATGCACCTGCTCAACCACCCAACGGTTGACAGACAAATGATGAGGGAGTCAAAGGAAATCCTTTCCTAGAAATTTTGAAAGCAGGTAGAGGCCAGCAGCTCTAACCAGAAAGTCTCCAGGATGTCAGAAAGATGGGAGTGAGCTTGCTAACAGGTTCAAGAATGAGAGGGCAAGCTCTCTTTCTCCAAAGAGGTACTCCTAGTTTTTCAAAATGAGGTTATATGACCTAGCGCAGGCGTCCCCAACCCTGATCCGCGGACCAGTAACGGTCTGTGACCAGTTAGGAACCGGTCCGCGCAGCTGGAGGCATGCGGCAAGTCTGCAGGGGTCTGGGCAGGGGCGGGAGAGTGGCAGGGCAGAAGCCGGCTTGCTCAGTGCAAAGGTTCTCCAGCGGCTGCGCTTGCAACTGGCTTGCAACATCTGAGTTCACATCCTTCCTCCTCCTGCTTCTTCTGCTCTCTCTTCTTCTGCCTCCTCCTCCTCCTCCTCTTCCTGCTTCCTCTCCCTCCTCCTTTTTCTTCCTCCTCCTCTTCTTCCTCACTTTCCTCCTGTCCNGCAGAAGCCGGCTTGCTCAGTGCAAAGGTTCTCCAGCGGCTGCGCTTGCAACTGGCTTGCAACATCTGAGTTCACATCCTTCCTCCTCCTGCTTCTTCTGCTCTCTCTTCTTCTGCCTCCTCCTCCTCCTCCTCTTCCTGCTTCCTCTCCCTCCTCCTTTTTCTTCCTCCTCCTCTTCTTCCTCACTTTCCTCCTGTCCACCTCCCGGAACCCCAGCTGGGCTCGTGCTCCCTTCGCGCAAGTCTCCAAGTTTGCAAGCCAAGCGCTGCGTGCTTCTACCCGGCTTGCAATGGGGGAGGGGGAAGAGGAGAAGCTACATTTCCCCTTAAGGCAGGGGTAGGCAACCTTGGCTCTTTTATGACTCATGGACTTCAACTCCCAGAATTCCTGAGCCAGCATAGCTGGCTCAGGAATTCTGGGAGTTGAAGTCCATGAGTCATAAAAGAGCCAAGGTTGCCTACCCCTGCCTTAAGCACTGTGTCTCCAAGGGAATCCCTCTCTCATCTGCACCTTTTCCAAGGCTGCTGGGCTTGCCCAGTGCCCTCCCCCCATCTCTTTTTGAATGGTTTTCTCAGCACGTCCTCATCGTGCTGGGTCTTTGGTTTGTTTTGCTGAGTTTAGGATTGTCTCTTTTCCTTCCCATTTTCTTAGAAGCAGAAAGTCACTGGTCTAATCTAATAAAATATAATAATCAAGTGCATTATTTGTTTGTTTATTTAGAAAATTTAGAATATAATGAATCATCCTAAAACCTCCTCCCCCTTGTCCATGAAAAAAATGAAACCGGTCCCTGCTGCCAAAAAGGTTGGGGACCTCTGACCTAGTGGGTAAGTAATTAAAAATTGAATGGACTAAAATGGGCATAAGTCATCTGTGGCCTACATGAAGTTCCCCTTTGGCATCCACAAAGAATTCCTAGATTGTACTGATAGCAATACATATTATTAGATAGTATTGTGATCTCATGAAAATCTCTGAAGTCATATAACATATACCTTCAAAAGAATTGTCTGAAAACTTACTTCCCGGAGCTGGTCCCTTTCATATGATCGGTATGAATGTAAATGTCCGGTAGGAATTTATTCAAGATGCTCCTTGCAGAATCCACCATTCGGTTTGCTATCTGGGGGGACACCCTGACCGAATACCTGGTTTAGGAAGCTAAGGAAATATTTCTGAATACACTTGAAAACAAAAAGAGGGTCAGTACCAGTGGTGCCTTTCCTTCGTGAATGCATGCACATCTATGCACAATGCACATCTGGATATTTTGCAACCAAGAAAAGCAAAACAGAGAATGTACATTTAAACCACACTATGCATGTACTACTTGTACCAATGTTCTTCTGGTTCAAAAGTTCGTACCAAATCCATTGACTGCAGACCCTGTAGAAAGCTAGAGTGATGTTATACTGAACTCCAGACAATTTACCAACCTATTGAATTTCAAAACAGCCAACTCAAAATGGAAAAAGTGGTGGCAACTCCTCACCTGGATTTGATGTTGAGGAGATGGCTCGTGTGGTTTAATGTTAACAACCACCAGAAATCAGATGGTAGTTACCCCCCATCCCCTGCAAATAGTACCTGAACTTAGCTCCAGTATTGTCATTATTTGTGAGTGATAAAGCTGGAAGAATGAAGATCACACAGGAATAGTTATATAATAGTTATTATATAACCAATAATGTATTTTATTCTATCTTCATGTATTCTTTTCTGGTGAGTGTCACAACTGGATTATCTCTTTATTATTTTCTCATGCTATTTGATTCTGTTTTATTAGTAAGAGATACCAGTAAAAAAATCTTAGCCATAATTGATTCACTGATATTAATCCAATTAAACAATGAATTTAGATATGAATGGACTCGTGAGGAATTAAATACTTGCATGGTCTAGCACTGGTTTTGGACTTTGTTCCACAGCTGAGGAAAAATGCTGTAATGGACCCATCTGAATTCCACCTACTCACTGTGTGCTGTGAAAGTGAATATATATTGCTAGAAAGTTCAGGCTACTTATCCACAGCTCAGTTATCGATGTTCTTGTCTTGGGTCACAGATAAAGTACATAATACGGCTAATTTATATAAATAACAAACTTTTTATTCTTTTTTGTATTTTTATTACAATCTTGTGGAACTGCATTACTAGCTATCCAGGGCCATGTGCAACCCAAAGGCCGCGGATTGGACATGCCTGCATTAAGCGGATATTGAACTAAAAATGAAATCTTTGCGTGAAAAGAGCAGTCTAGAATTCTCTTCAGACACATTCAAAGAAGGATACGCCATACCTCTGATACGCTTAATTTTACCGGGGTCAATGTACTGAATTGGTTTTAATACTTTCTTCACAGGACAAGCGAAGATCACTTCCCCTCCTCCTTTGGGGGGCATACCCCGCCTTACAATCTGAAAACAAAAGAGAACCCTTGAATGTCTATCAAAAATCCAGAGGATTGATAAGATTCTAGTAAATTAATGCAGCTGTCAAAATGAAGAGAAAGAAGATGGGGCTACCAATACTACGGTCAAATATGAACTCATAGAAAGTTATTTTTTAAAGACATCTCTTAATTTCAGTGACGTTCTGATCAATAGCAAATTCTTACCTTCAATTCTAATTCTTCACCATCAATTCCAAATCTTTTCAACAAAGGTAGAGCAGTTGCCTTCAGAACATCCACCTGAAAGTTTCATTACAAAACTTTTTTTATTAAATGAGAACATTTTCAATACTGAAGCAACAAGAAATTAAAAGTCTATTATGAAAATAAAAATTAAGTTTGTATATTAAGTGACAAGTTAAAAAATGCAAGATCATATATTAGCAACCAATAAATTATTCCTCAATCCTGATGCATAAATTAGCTATTAACCCATTCTTGTTTCACAGACAATGAATGCCATCCATAATCTGTTGTTTCTAGGAAAACATTTCTATATAAAAAATGAAGTTATTCTTGCAGCACATCCATATAATGTGGAATCCTTGCTGCTCTCTGAGCTTTGTTGTTTTCTTGCAGACATTTCATTACCCAACTAGCTAACATCCATATAATGTGGTGTGATAGGTACGGTTAGTGGGAGGGGCAGATATGGCGGGAGCAGAGGACCATATCGGGTTTTGGGAGCACGCACACGCTGCTTACAAGCTTGTGGGTGCTCCGATCCTCAGAGCTCTGCTCGATCCCCAGGGACCTTAGATCCTCCGGCCCGGACCCATCGGCTGATGTTATGCAACGCCAGGTCCGTGGTAAATAAGGCCCCCCTCATTCAAGAACTGATTCAGGAGG